GAATTGGTATAAAATATACCATCAGTGATATGCACAATTAGAAAAATGAGGTGGATCGGTCACATAGCAAGATCAAGGGCTAACCCAAAGACAAAGGTATGCTAATACCTTTGAAATATTGAGAAATATAGAGAAAAGCATTTGTCACATTAGATAAATGCTACTATAGAAGATTCACATGTAAATGTAAATGACATGTAAATGAGTTACAAGAGAAGGCATACAAGTAAGATAACCTTTGAATGAATTTGCCATAATCATAAGAGCACCACAAAATTGTATAATTTTTCATTATTTTCTGAGATGTTTACCAAAACAAAACAAAAACAAAATCACCTTTGAGTTTACCATGAGTTTATGAGACAGGGTTACAAAAAGATTTTCCAAAAGTCTTTGTAACAAGACTATGATAAAGATCTCATTTCTAAGATAAACAATTTATGAGAATTAGATATAGGTAAGCAGTTTTCTCATAAAGAAATTCACACTATCAATAGCAATAAGAAAAAGTTTTCTAAATATCTTATAATTAGAAAAACACAAATTAAAGCAACTGAAGGTCTACTACACATTCACCAGATTAGCAAGACTGGCAAAAAAGGAAAATGTCAAGTGTGGGAAAGACTACAGGGAAAAGGGCACATGAATGCACTATTACAGGAGTTTGGGACTAGTCCAGCCATTATAGAAAAGCAATTTAAAATTATACCCCAAAGTTAATAAATAGCTTACCCTTTGACCAAGCGATACCATGTTAAGTGTATCTATACTCCCAAGCAATTAAAGAGGAAAAGTATCCATATGTACAAAAATATTTATAGCAGTTCTTTTATGGTGGCAATTAATAAGAAAGTAAATGATATCCATAAACTGGGGAAAGGCTGAACAAATTACGGTATATGAATTTAATAGAATACTGTTGTGCCATAAGAAATGATGAAGGGGATGGTTTCAGAGAATAGCGAGATTATTCATACAAATTGATTCAGAAGGAATGGAGTAGAATGTGTACGGTAACAACACTGTAAAGGCAAACAATCTTGAAAGACTTAGACCTCTAATGAACACAAAAACTAACCATGATTGCAAAAGATCTAATACATACATAAATGTGTATATGTATATAGATATATATACATGTAAACATATATGAAATATAGAAATTTGTTTTGCTTTACTATGTATATTTATTAAAGAGGCCTTTCTTTTATTTCTTTTTTCTTAGAATTGTGAAGGTAAGAAAGATAAAATGGATTTTAGTCAATTAAAACATTTTTAATGGTTTTCTAAAGGTGGCTAATAGTGTATTATTTGAGCACTTACATTTCAGATTGATAAATATTTAACAATCACTATCAATGATCAATTATCTTTTTAAAAAAAAATTCCTCCCACACATTCTTAATTTTCTCTCTAGACTAATACAATTTTAAAAGATTTTGATTTATGCCAAGTAATATGGAACATCACAAGACCATCAGTATCATTGATTGATATGCTTGGCAGACCACTGACATCATTCCATTTTAAATCCATAAAATGTTTTCATAGTTCCAGAACTTTTTCATGTACATTATCTCACAACCATTCTGTGAGGTAGATCAAGGAGGAAATATTAACCTCATTTTATAGGTAAGGAAACTAGACCCAAAGGGTAAGTGAACTACCCTAATCATATAGTTAATAAGTAGATCTGACTGATTAATGATATGTACTATCAGTTTTATGGGCTCGAATAGGGAGTCTATTTATTTTGTAGACATGCAAGTTTTTTGGGTTTTTTTTTCTCTCAGTTTGCGAATTGTGTACCTACTTAGAGATTAGTCAGGAATCATTGGATGGTGTCAGATCATTAAAAATTCAAATTATCTGAAAGAGGAGAAAGGGGTAGGATTTAGCTAGAGTGGAAAAAACAAACAAACAAAATAAACAAATATACCAGGGTCCTGTGCATCATGTGAAAGATATACACAAAAAATGCATTCTGGATTCCATTCCATTCCATACGGACATTATACATCTGAAATATCTCATTTCCCAGATTCCGGTCCTATGTTCTCACACTGACTTTTAGATAAAAATTTTATTTGACAGATCTGGAAATAGAAGCTGATGTAACAATCTGACACTACATCCACCAAATAGGGAGTCCTTAGAAAAGCAAAACATACTACCAACATTTTCTGATTTGCAGAGTGAGGTTCTATTCATTATTAACAGTTACTCTGCCTTCAGAAAAGTTTATTTGCCCCAATTTCACAACATAATGCCATTACATTTTTTTCACATAATATCATAAATAGCAAATAGAAACATACTGCATCAGGTCAAACATGTCATGAATATCCAATTAGATATCAGTTATCAATTGAGTAGAATTTTATCTTCTGAACTGAAATAACAGTGGTATTTATATAATCATGTATTTATGAGAGTTAATATAAGTCTTTCTAAATTATTATCTCTGTCAGGTCAGCCCAGTAATTACATAAATCAAATGAAGTGGAATAAAAAGATTACTGAGAGATTGTTTCAGATAGCATATGGAATTTAGTTGACATTCTTTCCACAGCCTGTAATATTTAATGCCACTGAATCTGGCCACATACAGCTCCAAAATCTGATAAATGTATTTTGTATCTCTTCCACACACAGTATTAAGTGGGATAATAAACAATTATTTTTATCAAATCTGTTTCTCACTTCCAATTCAATTCAAGAAACATTCATTGGTCACTCACTGTGTATATGGCACTACATGCTAAGAAATGGGAATTCAAAAAAGATTATAGTCTCCAGCTTCAAGGTGTTTACATTCTACTGGAGGCACAATACATACAGACATTTAAGCAAATACAAAGGACTGTGAGGATGAAAATAGAAATGGAAACATTTAATCTATTTTTATCTCAATTAACCAATCTGTAAAATAGAGTTTTGAAAGTTTTATAGAGAACTCTGTAAATTATCTCTTTCTAATATAATTAAGGTTACTTCTTGGTACCTGGAGTGCTCTGGTCATCCTATCCACCCATCCAGTCTCAGTCTCCTATTTTGGAGGCTGAGGGAAATTTCTCTACATAATTTGTATAACTATACCCAGTTAGGCCCAGAGGAACTCAGGCATTAGAAATGAATGGTAATGTGTCCCATGAGACCAAGGTTAAGGTACCTTCTAATGCAAGGGAGAAATCTGGAGTGGTTTTTATTGTTTGGTAATGTTATAATAAAAGGGTAAAAGAGTGCTAATAAAAGGGAGGGCTAGAGAACCCAATAAAACTATGGAAAAGGCCTCTGACTGGGGCACAGTCATAAGAGAGTGGCCAAGGAAAGTTGAGGATAAAAATCTGCTTTGAGCTACAAGGAGCTACAGGAAAAGTGACATACTATACAGGACACTGGACAGGAAAGTGAATAAAGACTCATGACATCTGATGAAAGCAGAAGAGAACTGCAGATAGACTCATGTGAAGGAAAGATAAAGCACACAGAACAGACGACCAGTGCCATCTTCCAAAGAGTCTCAGGAGGAAACGTGTTCTAAGGAGGTACCCTAGAGAATTGTAGCTAGGAGCTCTGCCTATTAAATGGCTAGCCATGTCAAAGTCAACCTCTGGGGAGAGGTTGTACACTGATGGGTATTTCTATGGGTTCTAATATATATATTATAATATATATTATATATTATAATATATAATATATATTATAATATATAATATATATTATAATATAATAGATATATAATAATATATGTTATATATTATATAAAATATAAAATTATATTTGTTTTTCCTGACCTTTCCCTGCTTTCTTTTCCTTTTCTTTTTGAGTTTGTGAAGAGTATGCATTCAAAGAGAACTGATCACAAAATACTGGGTGATGTTAGTGAAATTCACAGATTATCTGAGAACATAAATATATAAATAAATAAATACATAGATGAATAAATAGATGGATAAATGAGTTAATTTAAAAATAAATAAATGAACTTTTTGTTTCTTTTTATTTTTGTTTTGTTTTGGGAAGAATATGCATTCAAGAAGACCTGACCACAAAGTGCTGGGTGATGTTAGATAGTTCTCAGATTATCTGAGTAGGGTCAAAGCCAGAAAAAATGAAACATTGTCCCACCTCCCCGCCCCAACATGTGTCAGGTCCCTTTGTGTCTTAGGAGAGATACTGACAAAATAATTACGTTCATACAACCTACCTCCACAGGATTCACATGAGAATTTGTAAAACTGTAAAAAATATGTAAACTTGAAATTGCTTTAAAAAGACATGAATTATCATCATATCATTATCATTCAGATTTTTTCTGAACAGAACTCTTTTTCCTAGCCAAAAAGTTTGCTAGTTTTTCTATGAATTCAACACTACATCTGCCATCTTTATATATTTACATAGGCCCACCTCATATCCAGAATGCATTTCTTCCTTATCTTCTTAGAATTCTTCCCTCACTTCAGTTCTCAGCTCAAGTGCCACTTACCACCTCAGATATCATCCCTAATCCTTCTAACATTCAATCCCAAGTATTATAGCTCTCTATCCTGGCTTTCCTATGTATTTACTTATTTATATACATGTGATGTCATCTTTACACAAAGAATATAAAAGCCTTGAGGACAGGGGCTATTGTCTTTTATCCTTATATCCCTAGTATCTATTATAGTGCCACATAGTAGGTGCTTAGTGGATATTTTTAATTGACATTAATTAATTAATGTGGTAAATTAATTAATTAATGTGGTAAAATGACCAACAATAATTTCTGTAACAATTAAAACTTGTATGTAAATTATCAATTTATTCAACAAATATTTATCAACTGTCTACCACATTGAATGCCCTGGACTAATGGACACTTATTCAAGCAAATAACCAGTTTTGAGAATTCTTCAAAAATGTATCTCATCTGTTACTTTTTTTTTTAAATCTATGTCTTGGACTGACAATATTTTGGAATGGAAATGAACAAATTAAAGGATGGAACTTACCATGTCCTGGAGGGTATCGCCTCCATTTAATGTGGACAGTTAACTCCTCTACAGAAAGCTTAGGCCAATTTCGATAATAGGGGCACTTATGGATTAGCTGCTCCCTTGTAAGCTTTTCCATTTTAGCTTGTTTCTGAAAGAGAGTGAACGTTCAGAATGTTTGTCACCAGGTAAAAAAAGAAGATAGTAAGAAGAAAATAGGAAAAAAAGAAAGTAGCACAATCATGGAGGTTGGCAAAGAAAAAAACAAAACAGTCTTTCCTGGTTAGAATTCAGTAGAATAAAGCACATGCTGAAGGAATAACATTCACTGCAAAATCATTGCTTTTATGACCATAGAAAAGTGAACATGTTTGTACCTTTTAAGAATTATAAGCATAGGCATGCTTATTAAATTCTGTTTCCCTCTTTTCTCACTTTTCATAGACTTACAAATTCTTTTATATAACATTCCATTTTTTTGAAGCATTTGAAGAAAATTTCATTGTTTGTTTTTAATAATCACATCACCCTATCAGATCAAACTCAAAAGGTAGTCTTCTCAGGCTCAAAACTGAAATAGCAATACTTTGAAATAAAAAGCTGCCACTCTGAAAATCAAAACAATTTTCCTGAGAAGTAGATTTCAGCTTCAGGATTAATAATTCCAATGTTCAATTCACACCATGTTTCTGTTCCTCTGACAGAAAAATTTGTCCATTCTTCAGGTAAATATCCCTGTCTGCTGACTTAACTCTCTGGTCCCACTCACTAATTAAGCACTCAAGGAATGCCAACTGCAGGAAGGCCTGTGTTATAGGGTATGAATGTTAGGAAAAAAGAAATGATCTCTCCTTTCTGATCTTGAAGAACTTACTATGACCATAGACCAAGGGTGGGGAACCTGGGGTCTCAAGTGGCCCTTCAGGTCCTCAAGTGTGGCCCTTTGACTGAATGCAAACTTCACAGAACAATAAAAGGATTTGTTCTGTAAAACTTGGACTCAGTCAAAAGGCTACACCCAAGGACCTAGATGGCTACATGTGGCCCTGAGGCTGCAGGTTCCCTACCCTTGCCATAGGCCTTTGGAATCTAGTTAGGGAGACAGTATATCCAAACATAAACAACCAGACAACAATGCTGTCTTCCTCAAATATATTCTGGAAGTGGATGAAGAGGGGTCAGGAGGTTATGGTATAATAAATATAATGCCTGGCACATGGTTAGTACTTAATAAATGCTTATGGATTGGTTAACAAGCAAATGGAGAGAAACCAAATTGAATTAAATTAGAAAATAAGTCCACCATAACTCTTTATACACTATAAATCAACCAACAAAAGTCTTTATTGAGTGACTACCACGTATTTAAGATTTTGATCAAAGTATTAAAGAAAGATTAGTTTTATTAGGAGTATTCAGACTGGTTTACAGAAAGGAGAGCCCAAAATCAAAGAGGCAATAAATGAAGTGGAAAAGAATTAGGACTTTGACAAGTGCAGTTTCAGTGTAAATGGAGGGGAAGGGTCCCTGTTACTCTGCCCCTCACAGTCCTACACTATGCATTGGTAATGCTACAATATCAATTTTCTTTTTTTTTCTTCTTTTTTAAAATTTTTAATTAATTTATTTTGAATTATCAATGGTCACTTCCATAAGCTTTTGAGTTTTAAATTTTTCTTCCCCTCCCTCCCCCCCTCCCTCCCCAAGATGGCGCACAATCTGATATAGGCTATACATATACATTCCTATTAAACGTATTTTCGCATTAGTGATATCGTAGGTAAGAATTAGAACCAATAGGAGGAACCACCAGAAAGAGGAAACAAAACACAACAGAAGAAAAAAAATAGCAAATAGTATGCTTCGGTCTGCATTCAAACTCCATAGTTCTTTCTTCTTTGTGGATAGCATTTTCCATTATGAAGCCTTTGGGGATGTCTTAGATCTTTACAATATCAATTTTATTAAAAGATTGCTTTCATGCTAATCCCATACTCAAAAGTTTTAATGGCTCTCAATTATCTCTAAGACCCTCCCTAATCTGAATACAACCTACTGTATGAGCCACCGTTCTACTATTATTACCTGGATCTTACTCCCTGAACCAAAGCTCTGAATAGACAGTTATTCCTTTGGCAAGCCTCTTGTTAGAAAGTATATTTTGTTGTCATAAAATCAGGACTATCCTAGGAAACCCATGATTTATTATTGAAAATTACAACAAGTCAGCACGATATAGAGGAAAGAGTCAGATGACCTAGACTCCCAACTCAACTCTTCCACTTACTAGCTATGTGACCAAGAGCAATTCTTTTAATCACTCTGGGCATCAATTTCCTCATATGTTAAATGAGGTGGTCTAGTTAGATACTCTCTAACTCCAAATTAGTAATCCTATGATCCTATGACTCTCATAAAAATAACCCTCCATTTTAGCCATGCTGATCTACAAGAAATCAATGAATACTTGCCATTCCCATCTCCCATCTTTTTGCTCCTGCTGTTCCGGCTATCTAGAATGCTCATTGTCAGTCATGCTATACACACACAATTCCTTAAAAACTTCTTTAACATCCAGCTTAAATCCCAACTTCATGGAACTTTCCCTGACTGCCTCATGCCATGCTGTTGTCTCCCAATCCTGAAATGCTAATATTATTGGTTTCTATATTTGACACTTAATATATGCCACCTTGCTAATTATCATTGTGCATAGGTATATTTATGTATTTGTGGGGTGTCTCCTTAATTATATTATAAGTTTCTGGAGAGCAGAGACCATGTTTTGCACTTCTTGTATTTCAGATTATGTACTCAGTTATTCATTCATTCATCTATTTATTTAAGGAAACTGGAAAGAGACATTTTAAAAGAAAAAATGTTATTTGTTTGTGACAGTTGACAAATAGAGCTCTAACTTTGACAATTATAGCCCTAGATATTACAGTTTTGCTCCATTAGGGTCACTTGGTCAAAAAAATAACAGGCTTAGAAACAGTCAACTAGCATTTATTAAGTGTCATATATAATGTGTCAGACAATGTGCTAGCAATACAAAGAAAGGCAAAAGACAGACACTACTCTCAAAGATCTCACAGTCTAATAAGGGAGACAATATGCAAATAGTGATGAGCAAATAGGATATGTGCGGGGTAAATTGGAGATGATCTTAGAGGAAAGGCACTAAGATTAAAGAGGACCAGGAAAGTCTTATTGTAGAAAGGTAATATCTTAGCAGAGATTTGAAGGAAGCCAGGAAAGCCATAAGGCAGAGATAAAGGAGGGGAAGAGGAGGCAGAGTGTTGTGCTCCAGGAAGGAGATCTCCTTCAAGGATGAAAGACAGCCAAAGAAAATGTGAATAGTCAGTAAATGAAATATTGTGTACAAAGAAGAGCAGCTAGGCCAGGGAAGACCACAGAGTACATGGGGGATGTAATATATAAGAGGACAAGAAAGGTAAGAAGAGGTCAGATTATGAAGGGTTTAAGGACATAAAAAGATAGATAGATAGATAGACATATATGTATATATATATATACTCATGTATGTGTGTATATATACATATATGCATGTATATGTATATGTGTGTATGTGTGTGCTCACACACACATATATACAGTTACAGGAGCAATAGGGAAGCACTGGATTTGATTGAATGGTGGAGGAGAGGAGACAGAATGTGACATTATCAGATTTGTGCTTTAGGAAAACCAATTTGACAGTTGAGTAGACGACAGAGTGGAGTGAGGAGTGAGGCAGTGAGATGAGTAGGCAGCTCAGGTTACATCATGGGGTTAGGGTATCACCAGTTAATAAGCCAGAAGTGTCTGTTCCATGATGGAAGGATATACTAACAAGAGTAAAGAGAGGAAGAAAGAAGTGATGGAAGGCAGCATGAGTCTTCAGGGTCCATAGGAAATAGGATCGCTGTTTTGTGAATAGCCACCACATGGCACAGTGGATAGAGGGAAGAAATGGGAATAAAGATTTAAAAAGCACTTACTATATAACATGTATAGTCAAGTGCTTTACAATATCTCTTCTGATAATATGTTGGACCTGGAGTCAGGAAGACCTGGGTTCAAATGTAGCTTCAAACATTTACTAACTGTGAGACCCTAGGTAAGTCACTTCACCTCCCTCTGCCTCAGTTTCTTTAAGCTGAAGATGGGGATAATAATAGTACCTACCTTGTAGGGTTTGTAAGAATTAAATGAGACACCAGTTGTAAAGGGCTTAGCACAATTCTTGGCACATAGTAGGTGCTTAATAAATGCTTGATTCTTTCCCTCCTTCTTAAACCTTGTAATGGAAAGACCATGTGATGAAGTAGAAAGAATAATGAATGTTTGTTTAGGAGATGCAGGTTCAAACTGTCTTCAATAGCTATGGAGTCATGTTTAACTCACTTAAACTGAGTTACTGAGCTTACTTTCCCGTCAGTTAAATGGAGTCAACATTTGCACTCTCAATTCTCTTTGGTCAATATGAAGAAGGCACCATTTGAAGTTAGATTATTATTATAATTGTCCCAGCAAATGAAAACTCTCATATAAAGTAACAGTAAATATTACTAAAACAATGGAAACACTGTCTGGTGAGGTCATCTTGGGAGTGGGGGAAGTGGTTTCCAGGGCATTTTCCCTTCTAGGAGTTCACTTAAAGATCACAGCGAGGCACAACAATATAGCCCAGAAGCAATTTCTTCTTTGTCTAAAGTTCACTTTTCACATTCTGCAAGACAATATTAGCAGATGTATTGGGCTACACCCTGTAGGGGCTATTTGTAGTCCAGGGAGTTCTTGGGGTAGAGGAATTGTACCCCTGTTCAACAGATTGCAGGCATCATTTTTTTTTTTAATTTTTGGGAAGTCTTGGGAGTAGCAGGAAAATAAATGGCATAATAGGGTATTGATAGTCATAGCTTGGTTGAAAAGAAACTTTCCACTATTCCTTTGTTTTTCCACTGATTAGATTGTTTATCTTTTGATGGTCAAGTTTAGCAAACACCTGAGCCTGTGGAAACATTCAGTCTCCTTTAGATGAATGGGAAGGGAAACCTATATGTGTTTGTGTTTTTAATTGTTAATGCAGTGAAACAATCTTCAGGACTTTTTGTACTTTGGAAGATGTCATTAACACTGTCTCCCTCTGCAGAAATGAATTATAAAACTTCACTGCCTTCATAGCCTGCACAAATCTGAACTCTAATGATTACAACATGAAATCTGAGGAGACCTGAAGTCTCAAATGAATGTACTGCTAACAACCCCACACTATTTATAGTAATGATTCTTCTCCTTGCATACTGTTGATTCTTGCATAAAGTCATTTAATAAATGTTGATTGAATTTAAATTGGTCAAAAATAAAAGTGAGTGCCATTAGATCTGACTGCACTATGATATACACAGAGTAGGCCTCCCTAATACACTAAACACAGCCAGGTCATCACAGATAGATAGATAGATGGATAGATAGATAGATAGATAGATAGATAGATAGATATGTATGCATATATATAAATATATATATACATAATATGTATATGCACAGATCTGTGTCTATATATACATATTCATATAAATGTGTATCATATATAAATATTTCCATTTGTTTGTATATGTTCATATATAGTATATCATAGTATATTGCATATTCTGTAACATAATATTTAGTACATTATAATTTATACTACATAATATTAATACAATATTATAATATGCTATAATAAGATAAAGTATGCCATATTATATAATATAATTAGTCACAGGTGTATTATATTATATAATATGTAATATATTATAAGAATATATAGATATAAATATTACATAATAATATGTGCTTATATGTATACACATAAAATAATAAACATTTATATTATATTTAATAATAATAGAATATAAGTTAAGATATAATATATTGCAATAGACTGTGTATTATATTGCATAATTCATTCAATGTATATTATATTCTATACAAGTATATATGACTAAACAGAATAATTATATATAACTATATATGTTTCTATATACAGATACACATATACACATAATAAGCTAATATATGTTGTATCACATTCTTACATAATATGATAATATCTACAAATTACATAATTTGTAATGTTATTACATTTTCTATATTATATATAACCATTTTACACCAGGGAATATAGCCTTTGTACCTCTTTAATCTTGGCATACTCCTTTGCATTGATTTTAAGAAGTTCACAATCCTCTTCCATGATAAGAGAGTACAAGTTTGAACTCAACTTAGGTTCAGGCAACTCTATCAGTGTGCCAAAGCCATTCCAGGGACCAAGCTGCAAAGAAAACAAAAAGAAATGTGGGGGCATCGGACAAAGTAATCTGTGTCTGAACTTCAACGCTGCTACTGAAGGATCAGACTCTACATTGCACCTAAATAGGTTACTCTACACTATTTCAATTCAATTCAATTCAATTTCTCAAACATATTAATCGCCGTTATGATCAATCTATATTAGTCACCGAGGATACAAAGTTTAAAAATTATGTAATCCATTCCCTCAATGAACTTACAATCTAAGAGCAGGATGGATGGATGGATGGATAGATAGATATATCGATAGATGCTAGATGGATGGATAGATAGATAGATAGATAGATAGATAGATGAATGGATGGATGGATGGATAGATATACCCTGCTGTTAGAGTATATGAGGGTGTGTGCACACATACGTGTATACATACACACACACACATACACACACACATACACACAGATGGAGATGAAGAGATAGAGACAAAGAGAGGTGGCACAGTGGATAGAGATCACCGGTTCTGGAATCAGGAAGACCTGAGTTCAAATACAAATTCAAACACTTACTTTCTGTGTGATCCTGGGCAAGTCACTTAACCTTGGTTACCTTAGTTTCTTCATCTATAAAATAAGCTGGAGAAAGAAGTGTCAAATCACTCTAATATCTTTGCCAAGAAAACACCAAGTGGAGTCACAAAAAGGTGGGCACAACTCAAATAACTGAACAACAGCATGCATGCATATATGTGCATATATATATATATACATATATACATATATATACACACAGAGAGATGTAGAAATATACATGTATATGTGTATATATGTCTATACACATACATATATGTATATATGCATGTATATATGTGTGTATATATGTATACGCACATGTCCAAAATAAGCATCATACAAGGTAGAATGTGATGGTGTAAAGGGAAGATTGGAGCAACCTAAGAAAATTTGAAGAGAAAAAGATCTCTTCCCCCTTTTGGGAGATCAGGGAAGGCTGAAAGGAAGAGGTTAAAAATAAAAAACTTGAAGATGATTTCAAAAGACAGAAATCAGTAGAGAGTGTATTTCAGGCATGGGTGGACAATTTATTTTAGGTGGGAAAATGAAGGATGAAATCAAAAGAAAATAAAAGCTAGGGATATAATTTATTTGGCACAAAACTTGCATGAAAGGGAGAAACAAATAGAAGGAAACTTTAAATACAGTCAGAAGGTTTTTTTTTTCTTTTCCTTTTCTTTTGTTAATCTTTGAAGCAATAGTAAACCTTGAAGTTTGTTGTTGAACAAAAAGTGGATATGTGAGACATCATTAAGGTAGGACTTATTACACATTAAAATGATTCAGTGAGGAGGTGAGAGAACTTTAAAATGAATCCATGCACACTAATGCATTGTTGGTAGAGCTATAAATTACTAGAACCATTCTGAAAAACAACTTCAATTATGCAAATAAAGTGACTAAAATGTCCATAACCTTTCATCCAGACATTCTACTATTAAGCATATACACCAAGAATGTCATTATCAAAAAAAAAAAAAGATTTCCAAATACATCTAAATATTTATAGCGGCACTTAGGTGCCAGCAAAGAAGTGAAAACAAAGTAGATGTGTATCGATTAGGGAATAGAAAAAGTGACGTGCATGAATGTAATGGGATATGATGTGCTATAAAAGCTATAAATATGAAGAATACAGAGAATCATCGAAAGATTTGCATATAATAATGCAAAATAAAGTAAGCAAAGACAAGAAAATAACATACATAATGACTACAATGATGTAAAAGAAAATAAAAATGACAGAACAATAGAAAAAGAATGTTTCAAAATTACAAAGAAAAAACATGACTCTAACAAAGAAGATACCTTTCACCATGCTTTCATAGAGCTGGGGGCCTATGTATGTGAACTATATCATATATTGCCAGATTTCTTTTGTTATACTGATTTTTTTCTTCTTTTTTTTCTTCTTTAAAAATATTTGTCAGGTATGATGGCTCTCTAGGAGAGAAGATATAGGAGGAAATTTAGCCAATGTGAAAATTAACTAAATAAATACAAATAAAAATTTGTTTAAAAAAAACAAAATGATGATTATAAGATTCAATTAGTCCAATGGAAATGCCATGAATATAGGGAAATTAAGAAGAGGGATAGTTTTGGGGTGAAAATAACTGATCCAATTTTCCACCCTGTATCATAGAAGATTTAGGGCAAGCAATAATCTTGGACATCATCTAAGTTCAACCCCTTTATTTTATAAATGAATGAACTGAGGTCCAAAGACATGTAATTATTTAATTTCATATAGGTAGTGAGTAGCAGAGTTAGGAGATTTTGTGTGTTATTTAAGTGAAAAAGTGATGCAGCAAACAGAATGTTGGACCTGAAATTAAGAAGATTACTTAAATTCTTTCCTCAGAGAATTACTGTTTGATTGTACTTCATATTTCTCAACTTCAAAATGGGAATAATAACAACAACTTCCTCCCACGGTTATGGTGGTGGTCAAATTAGATGACACGTACAGAGCTTCATAAAACCCTAAACTCTAATATAAATGCTAGTTTGCTATCTTGTTCTTATTATTATTACCAATTATATATTGTTATATATTAGACCTAGTGGTGTAAGCTCCCTGCAGACAGAAACTATTTTCATTTTTGTCTTTGTGTTCCTGGAGCCCACCTAAGCATCTATAATATATAGTAAGTGCTTAATAAATGTTTTCTGATTGATTGACTGAAGGTTAAGATCATGGATGGACTTGGCAATCATTTGCATGAAGGAATAATGAAGTCAGTAGAAAAATTTGCCAAAGAAGAAACTACAGAAGGAGAAAGAAGCAGGCTGAAGACAGAGCCTTAGAAGAAACATACACTTAGGAGTTGGGAGGATGGGGATGAATCAGGAAGGACCAGTCAGTTAGGTAAGAGAAGAACCAAGTAAAAGCAAAAACACAGAGGCCAAGGTAGGAAAATGTATCAAACTGGGGCTAGTCAATAGTGTCAGATAACACAAAACAGATAAGAGAAAGGATTCTTGGATTTTTTTAAAGCAGTCATGTGTGACCTTGTGGAAAGTAGTGCCAATAGAGTATTAACGATGGAATTCAAACTTCAGAAAGTGGAGGAAGCAGATATAGGCTTCTTTCTCGAAGTTTAACAGTGAAATGAAAGAATGACAAAGGAAAGACATATGTTGGAGGAATGGAAATGTTAAAAGCAAAATGTAATTGTTCTATTTCTGTTGTTGTTGTTGGATGGCTAGGAATTCCTGAGCATATTTGTAACCAGAAGAGACTGGAAACAAGCATTGGAATAAAAGACCTACAATTCCCTCCCCTCCTTTTCTGGGCCTCAGTATCTTTAAAATGAGATTGGACTAGATGGCCTTTGGGGTCTGTTCTAGCTATAAATTCATGATTCCTGATTTTATGTATTCTAATAACATACAATATATCACCTACTTTCTGAAATGAAAGTGAAAAATTGACTCAAATATATTATATTAATATTAAAAAACAGGTTCTTTACTCATCAAAGATAATCTTATTTGAACTTTTACATCATTCCTATGAATTTTTTTTTAGTTTTCCTGGGTCATTTGAAATGATGCTGTCAGTTATATGCTTTGAGAAGCACCTGAAAAGGAAGTAACAACTGCTAAAGGCAAGATGGGTTAATTTTTAAAAATACATGCCAGAGTAACTGACCTAATTTCTTTTTTTTAATAGGGTTATTGAGCTATTTGACAAAAGGAATACTGTAAATGTAGCCAATTTTGATTCATTAATACAATTTATTAAGTTTCTCACAATATTCTTATGGAGAAAGTAGATAAAATTGAGATTATTAGTATAAATATATATCCATATTAACATACTAATAATAATATCATATAAATTTCTAGCACTTATATAATGCTTTAACATTGCAAAATGCTTTCACAAATATTACTGTATGCTATCCCCACAAAAACTCTGGGAGGTAGGTACTACAGTTCTACCTATTTTATAGATGAGGAAATTGTGACTAATTGAGGTTGCCCATGGTTGTATAGCTAGAGAGTGTCTGTGGCTGGATTTGAACTCCAGGTCTTCCAGATTCTAGGTCTAGCACCATGATAATATATTTTTGGTGTATCTGAAAATGTTTTAAATATCACACCCAAATTTCAGTGATTAATGAATGGACTGATGCTAACCTGAAAGGAGGTTCTTAAGGAGTGTCCTGAGGCTCCCTTCTTGACCTTGACTTTGAAAGTTTCATCACTGATTTGGATGTCATTGAAACTATGCTTACCATATTTTTAAATGATATTAAGCTCAACAAGATAGTTACAGAAAGTGGATAGTGAAACTGGCATTGAAAAAATTCTTATGATTCTGGAGCAATGGATTAAATATAATAACATGATATATACTTGGGTTTACAAAAATCAACCACACAAGTACAAGATAGGGAAGCTATGAAACAATAAGAATTTATTAAGTACCTACTATATTCCAGGCATTGTACTAATCATCAGGGATGCATAAGACAAAAATAAAATAGTTCTTGCTCCCAAGGAACTTATATTCTATCACGGCAGAAAAATGTACAAAAATACAAAATAAATGGACGTTAAATTGGGATGAATGAGTTAGAAGGTACCAGAAGGTGGGGGAAAGCATAGTTTTATGGTTTTTAAGAGGTTTTAAGAGGTAAAGAGGATGCTGTCTATTCTTGGTATTTCAGACAACCAATTCCAAGGAAAGGAGCTGGGAAATGGAGTATTACATGTAAGACATGACGGAGTAAGATTTGCTGTGTTAGATGTAATAAAGTATCACGCCTGGACATTCCTTGTGTGAAAAAGGCCTATCGGTTTGTGTTGAGTTGTGGCATCGTCAAGATGACACAAAATATCGTGTAAAACACAACAAAGCTGATATAATCGTAGGCTTCTTTAAACGCAGGTTAGTGTTAGAAAATGGAGATGATAGTCCTGCTGTATAATCTGACAG